CGGTCTGTATGTGGGATCCGAACCCTCGGCGGGAGCGCCGCTGCACTTCCCAAGTGGCGCACTGTAGCAGTTTTATTGGGGCATAATTGATATAGAAAGAACTGTGTGTATTTCATGTGTATAATTTGATGGGTTTGGACATATGCAAATACATGTATTATTGTCACTATAATCAAGATAATAACTATATCCAACACCTCCCAAGGTTTCCTTGTGTCTCTTTGGATTTTGTGTGTGTGTGTTTATGGCAAGAACACTTAAAACATGAGATCTACCCTCTTAACAACCGTTGAAGTGCATAGTATTGTATTGTTAACTGTAGGCACTCTTCTACACAGGTCTCTAGAACTTATTCATCTAGCATGGCTGAAGCTATACCCGTTGAAAAACAGCTGTCTATTTCCCCTGTCCCCTAGTTTGTGGCAACCACTATTGTATTCTTTGCTTCTGTAAGTTTGACTATTATAGATACCTCATATAAGTGATATTATTCAGTATTTGTTCTGTTTCTGCCTTATTACCTTATTACACTTAGAATAATATCATCCAGATTTGTCCATGACCGTTCTCCTTCTTTTCTTTTTTTTTTAAAAAGATGACCGGTGGGCCGGCCAGTGGCGCACTTGGTAGAGTGCGGCGCTTGGGAGTGAGGTGGCGCTCCCGCTGAGGGTTCGGATCCCATATAGAGACCAGTCCGCTCGCTGGTTGAGCGCGGTGTGGGCGCGACACCGAGGGTTGCGATCCCGTTACTGGTCACGAAAAAGACAAAAAGGAAAAAAAAAAAAGATGACCGGTAAGGAGATCTTAACCCTTGACTTGGTATTGTCAGCACCACACTCAGCCAGTGAGCAAACCGGCCATGCCTATATAGGGATCTGAACCTGTGGCCTTGGTGTTATCAGCACCACACTCTCCTGAGTGAGCCACGGGCCAGCCCTCATTTTCCTTCTTTTTTTAAGGCAAAATAATATTCCATTGTATATATGTATCATATTTTCTTTATCCATTCATCTGTCAGTGGACACTTGGGTTGTTTCCATGTTTTGGCTTTTGTGAATAATGCTGCAATAAACATGGGAGTACAGATATCGCTTCCAGATCCCAATTTCAAGTCTTTTGGATATATACCCAGAAGTAGAATTGCTGGATCATATGGTAATTCTATTTTTAATATTTTGAGGAGCTACCATATTGTTTTCTACAGTGGCTGTATCATTTTACATTCTTACCAACAGTGCACAAGGGCTCTAATTTCTCTACAAATTCACCAATACTTATTTTCTATTTTTTTTGATAGTAGCATCCAAATGAATGTGAGGTGGTATCTCTTTGTGGTTTTGATTTGCATTTCCTTAATGATTAGTTATGGTGAACATCTTTTCATGTGTTTATTGGCCATTCATATGTTGTCTTGGAGAAATGTCTATTCAAGTCTTTTGCCCACTTTTTAATCAGGTGTTTTTCTTGTTTGTTGAGTTTTAGGAGTTATCTGTATATCCTGGATATTAACCCCTTATTAGATATCTGAAGTCTCTTTTAATCTGTATTTCCCCCCTCTGGCAATTTATTTGTTTAAGAGATAGTCAGTTTTGTTTTATTACAACACTGTGCTTTGCTCACATTGTGCTCAGTGGTTATAGCTTATTTTTCACAAAGCAAACTTGTCTGTTAAAGCCTAAAGGACTGTTGGTTATAGGATACTTCTAGAGGAGCAGAACCTTAATGTTGCTGTTGGGTGATGGATGATAGTAGCACACATCTGACTGTAGACCAAGGACATGGAATTTCATCTATGTGTTTGTATGAAGTTCAGAAAATGGGTACATGAATTAGATTCAGTGGACATGGAAATAAAAGGCCATTCCACTGAAACTGAGGCTCTTAAGCTATCTTACAGTGATAAATATATATTTATTTGGCAATTAGGAACCTTTGAATTCATCTTGGTATGGTGGAAAGGGCACTATATTAGGTGTTAGGAGAGCTAAGTCCTAGCATTTTTTCTGCTACTACCTCCCTGTCACCTTGCACAAATGACATGCTTTCTTCAGGGCCTCAGTTTTCTCATCTAGTAAATGTGAGGAATGGACTTGAGGTTCTTTTCCATTTAGTCTGGAGTCTGGGTTTTCAGGTTAATCGTGAACAAGGTGTTATTCCAGTGATTTGACTCTGGAGGAGTGTCCTGGAAATTTTTGGAGGAAGTTTTACCATATTGGAGTTTTCTTTGATGGTCTTAGATTGTCCTGAAGACTGGATTTGTGAATTACTTGGTGGTAATCTCTGTGATCAGTCATAGGACCCCTTGAAGCAACTGTACTTCTCCAGAATACTCTCCCCCAACCCCCATGCCAATTTTCTCTTCCAAGATCCAGTTCAGAACACCACATTCTATTTAGTTGTCACTAGTTGTTGTGTCTCTCTTTAGTCTCCTGTAGGCTGTGAGAATAACTTTTTTTTTTTCCTGTTTGTGAAATATAATTGGTCAGTAAGCTAAAGAAAGGTCACTAGTTGTTGTGTCTCTCTTTAGTCTCCTGTAGGCTGTGAGAATAACTTTTTTTTTTTTCCTGTTTGTGAAATATAATTGGTCAGTAAGCTAAAGAAAGATATTTTGCTAGGTCCAGTTGGGAAAACTCATGTTAACTGAGAATGAACTGGTAATTTCCCATAGCTGTGAGGTTCAAAGAGCAATCTGGTTTTATCCTAATACGCATTTTCTCTATTTTCTCTTCTCCATTGGGAAGCAAGTGGCTTCGTGTTCCAGTGGGGGACTGGTTTGGCATCATCTGGGCGACGATTGTGTCCTGGGCAGACTCTCCCATTGTTTTTGACAGCAAAGGAACCGAGCAGAGTAACAGGTGAGGCCCTTATTTTGTCTTAGTCCTATATTTATTCTTTGTCAGGGAGTAGAGACACAGACGTGCAGAAAGTGGGTAAATGGATTTCTACTTCTGCTATTTCTTGGTCTCCCTGTCTAATTCTCTCTGTTGATTGGTATTAATCTTGTTGAAATTTTTTGTGGGCCCAGTAAAAGCAACACTCTTTGCTGCTAGAGTTTAGAACCCATCGAGAGATAGATGTAAGTCAGACAGGTGGAGGTCAAAATGGTAGCTCTAGAAATGTTAAAAGCAAAGTTGGAAGATGTGATTAGGTGTTTGGAAACAATGTGCAGTAATAGTGAACCTCTAAATTCTGAATCCCAGATTGAACTTACCCACTGGGCACTGGAGCAGCTGCACAGTGTCTGCCCTGCTAAGCTTACTGCATGGCCAAGAGGACACAAGGGTGCACCTCTCTGCAGGCAGGCACACCCCAAAGGGAGAACCCAGAAGGACTGTGCCTCACGTGCCCAGTTTTCTCTTCCAAAAGAGAAGTAAGAGTGAGGGGCTAGGAGTATTCCTGTAGGGAAATCTCTCTGCATGGAAATGTAAGGAGTAGGTAATAAGTGTTCTGCCCATAAGTCTGTTGGTCTGTAGGACTTTCTCCTTCTCTCTCTCTGTCAGCTCTCCCTCTCTCTACTCTCTATTCTCTTTGTTGGCCTTTCTCTCTCTGTATAAAGCATCATGTCGCTATCTCCTCTTCCCCCTTTCTTCCTTTCTAACTCTCTAACTTTATGACCCAGTGTACTGAGGATTGGCTGTAGGAAGATCTGTACAGAAAACCTCTAACTACTCTTCTGTAGCTCATAATAAAAAAGGAATATTTGAGAGTGGTGGGAAGGGGTGGAATATAATAATAGGACAAGGCAGATGTTTCTAGCCACATTCACCAAATTGGAAGTAATGGGGCCCCTTGTGGCCAGGTGAGAGGGGACAGTCAGGGTTCCAGCTCGAAAACCTTAGGCCATGAGGTGAACATGGGAGAAGGAAAACTGAAAGACTTTGAGGGGAGGGGAAAGAAAAGGGAAGGGTAGGCTGCAGTGGGAATGATGTACAAGGGTGTTGGGATCATTCTGATTATTCTAAGTCCTGGAGGCTCTTTCCTTCACCTGGGGGTGGAGTTACTTCCTTGAAGCGCATGGGTTGAGTCAGGGAAGGTACTTTTAGAAAAGGCGAAGAGGATATTGAATGCTGGACAGATAGTCCAGTTCACATGACATTGAAAACATTTATAATATAAACTCATACTTCCCAAACATTTTTTTCTTCTTCATCAAGGTATTCACTGCTCCCTAGGCATATCCTGCTTTCTCATTCCTTTGTGCCTTTGTGCAAACTGTTACCTCTGCCTGAAATGCCTTTCCTTCCTGTTCCGCCTGGAGAAATCCTAAGAATTTTTCAAGGCCTACCTGAGATACAGCTTCCTCAGTAAAGCCTCTTTCCTCTTTTATCCTGCATTGTGTTTTCTTCTCATGCATGGATAGAACAATGTATTGTATTGTTATGAATTGTTTATAAGCTTTCTCATATGCCAAAGATTGTGAGCTTTTTCAGAGTAGGAAATGTGTGTTATTCTACTACTCTTTCCTCTTTTATCCTGCATTGTGTTTTCTTCTCATGCATGGATAGAACAATGTATTGTTATTGTTATGAATTGTTTATAAGCTTTCTCATATGCCAAAGATTGTGAGCTTTTTCAGAGTAGGAAATGTGTGTTATTCTACTCTATATTTTAGTACAGTGTCTGTAACTAGAAGGAATAAAGAATGTTTTTTATTCTATGTAGTTTAAACAACCTGTTTGGGATCTGGTTGGAGCACAGCTTAGATTCAGAGTTGTTTTGGGGGAGTTTTCTCATGAGACTTTAGAATGGATCATCAGCTTTCTATCCTCAAAGTCTTTATATTTTCGTTCTCCCATGTGGAGAATGAAAATGCTGGAACCATGACTGTCCCCTCTCACCTGGCCACTAGGGGTCCCATTACTTCCAATCTGGTGAATGTGGCCAGAAACATCTGCCTTGTCCTATTATTATATTCCACAGGATACTTGAAGACGTGAAGGCCATTTTATTAAGACACTAGTTAATTAAACAATATCAGAAAAAAAGTTACAGAATAAGACTATGTATATGTATGCTAGACCACATGTTACCACAGGTACCCAAATTCTAGCAGTGTTGATTGGGATTATGCCTTGTCTGTGAAGGCATTGTAATTAAGGGAGGAAAAGTGCTGGATTAAAAAATGTAAAAACCGGGCCGGCCCGTGGCTCACTCGGGAGAGTGTGGTGCTCATAACACCAAGGCTCCGGGTTCGGATCCCATATAGGGATGGCTGGTTCGCTCACTGGCTGAGCGTGGTGCTGACAACACCAAGTCAAGGGTTAAGATCCCCTTACCGGTCATCTTTTTGAAAAAAAAAAAAAAAATGTAAAAACCATTTTTCCCCCCTGTTTGTGAGATAGAAGAGCAGTTCAAAATCTAGTTCTGCTTGTGTGTTTTTAGGAGGCCTGGGTTTGTATTTAATTGCCTGCACATGATAGCAACTGAATTTATGAGATGGCATTACTTCTAGACCCATGTAGCAGACAGAGCTGGGAAATATACACACACACATGCATACTTTTGCATCGTACACCTGTTTCTGTTTATCTGTCTCTTCTGGAAAGCATGAATTTATACTGATTTCTTCAATGGCAGTCCAATATCACATTCTAGCCTTCCCCCTTTTCATATTTATACCTTTCCTCCCTTCTCTGATAGTGAGGAATCGGCTCCTTTATCCTCAGTATATTTACTTAGTTGTTCAAGTCCATGGTGTGTTACTGGTCCGCGTACAATGGCAGCCAAGTTCTTGGCCAGTATTGCTAACTCAGACCTGCCTGCACTGGCTGAGAGTTTTCTCCTCATGCTCAAAGGGTGCTGGCTGAGAGTATCCTTTCTGCCCAGTTTGTTCTAAGTGTAATTCAACAGAAGAAACTTTTTTTTTCCCTTTAGGCCTAGAGAATTCTAAAGCAATCTGTGTTATTGCTGGCTCAGACCACTCAGCTGCATTAACAGGTAGGTACTAGCTCTTTCACAGTTTTACGTGCCATACAGAATTCTGTACATAACCACCTAAAGTGGTGATATCGAGATAAAGAGGGAATGTCATAGACTTTGGAGCCAGAATTCTGATGTCACAACAGGTATGATCTTAGGCAAATTATGTTACCTTTTTGAGACCATCTCCTTGTCTGTAAAGTACTTTGTAGGTAGTTATGAGAATTAAATATCATATACATATAAAGCACTCACATCAAACACAGGCTCACTTCCTTTTCCTTTGATTTTGTTTTGTCAACTATACAGTAGGGATAAAAGTATCTTTCAGGGTAATTGTCATTGTCAAATCATATAATCAGCAGGAAAGTTTTTTTTCTGAACAGTAAATTTATGTATAACATGTTGCTTTCTTATACATATAATCCATTTCAGTGTCTAATATAACTATCTAAGCTTTCTACCTATCTATATTCTCTAGCTGTTTAATCTCAAACTAACCTATTTTATCCATCTATTTCTTTCTAATCCATTTATTTATCTCCCTCTTTGCTCTCTCTGTATTTATCTGCTCTGTTTATTTACCTGTATATCTTTCTATTTATTTATCTTTCATCTTTGTATCTTTCTAATCTATGTATCTATATATGTGTATATTTATATATATATATATATATATTTCTCTAATCTGTTTTATATATTGTTACTTATTTCTCTAATTTATCTACCTCTTTGATCTATTTTTCTGTCTTATCTGTTCTTTTTTTTAAACTCATACTATATTTCTCTGTTTGGGTGTGTCCATTCATCCATTTGACATGCCCAAGTAATACTGTATAAATTTTCCTAGTAACTTTTTCTTACAAGGCAAAGCAACATTTTCTTGAAAGTGAAGGTTAACCCTTCCCTTTAACCCAGATTGCTCTGACCCCTGCTGGTAGATTGGAGACTATACCTCTGAGAGATTTATTTTGGTAAGACCTCTCATAGTGTTGAATGCATTACATTTTTTAAGAAAAGAGGAGGGGCTTTCATACATAGTGTTTTATGTGCAAATTCAGGTTTGTCCATAATATATTAAATGAATCATGGCATGCATTCTTCATCAAATTTGCAATGTAGTCCAACTGAGAAACTGTTATTGTTTTCAGAGCCATAGTGTGAGAGTTTAAATACTTCACAGATTCTGAGCCACAGATGATTTATTTAATGAATTTAAAACAGCCAGCTATCAAAAGAAGCACCACTTTTAGACTGTATCTCATATTAAGTAGATTTACATGTTTGTTAAAAGCATTGAGTTGAAATGAATACCAACTATAAGGGTCTCCACTGGGCATCTGGTCCCACCTTTCCTTTTATAGAGTAAGGACTAGAAACCCCAGGGTGAGAAGTGATTTGTTCATGCCCAACAGTAAATGAGGAATGGGGAAGGCATTCTTTTCTGAGAATAAGGGTGGATTAGGAAGTGTTTCTCCTTTGTACTAATTTGAAATGACTAACATTATGTAAACCTAGAGATTGTCTAATTGCTTGCTAACATCATCTTAAAAAATCTTGTAATTTGTAAATTTATTATTTCATACTGAGAATATATAAGAATAAACAAACCAAAGTTTTTTTTTTACTATATGCTCACTGAACCGCAATCAACACAGAAGATTTCTGTGACCAAATGTGTGGTTTTTCTTTCCCCACACACCAAGCAATTCTGCAGCAGACACCAGCAATTATGCTCACTGAACCGCAATCAACACAGAAGATTTCTGTGACCAAATGTGTGGTTTTTCTTTACCACCACCAAGCAATTCTGCAGCAGACACCAGCAATGTGTATTCTAATTCAGTTTAATTCTGACTCTTATCTACCTAGAGATAGCATCAGATCCCACAGTTTGAGGACTCAGTTCCCCAAGACTGTCCCCCAAGACTTCAGACGCCAGTTGCAAATCCAGGCCCCCAGAACTTCTGACCTACTCGCCTCAAATTGGGGTTCACATGACCCCTTCTTTGGGCTTGATGAATTTGCTAGAGCTGCTCACAGAACTCGGGGCAACACTTACTTATGTTTATTGGTTTATTATAAAGGATAGTTCAAAGGATACAGCTGAAGAGATGCATAGGGTGAGGTATGGGGGAAGAGACATGACACCTTCCAGAAACCTGCACATGTTCAGCTATCAGGAAGCTCTTCAAACCCTGTCCTTTTAGGTTTTTATGGAAGTTTCATTACATAGGCAAGATTGTTTAAATCCCTGGCAATTGGTAAACAACTTAACCTTCAGCCCCTCTCCCCTCCCCAGAGGTTGGGGTATGGGACAGAAAATCCCTATCCTCTAAATCCTGCCTTGGTCTTTCATGTAACCAGCCTCCATCTTGAAGCTACCTAGGGGCTGCCAGCCATTAGTCAGCTCATTAGCATGCAAAAAGACATCACTTTGGAGATTCTAAGAAGTTTAGGAGTTGTATGCCAGGAGAAGGAATAAGTACCAAGTATATATTTCATAACATCACACATATGTAGGGCACATTTATTATGGTGTTTTTAATACATAGATGTTGAATTTTTTATTGAGATGTTATTCACCTATAAAATTCACCATTTTAACGTATAGTTTAGTGATTTTTAGTATATTTACAAAGTGAATTAGTTTTTGATATTTTGAAAGTGAGTTAAAAATTGTCAAGATTAATAGCCCTCTTTCCTCATCTAGTTCAAGCTGTTACACATTGGATTTTTTTAGTGCTCTTTAGACCTTTTCTCTGGAGTCATAGATTATGTAACTATTTGGCATTGCAGCAGAATTTAATTTTACCTACTGATGCAACATGAATAGTGTAATGATTCTCATGTGGAAGACAGTTTGTCTTTCAAAAAGATGGTTTAGTTGTACTAAAATAAACAAAGGCTTATTACAAACACAGGCTTCCTCATCAATGGCCTTTTTGTAGCTTACCAGTCCATTTAATGGGTTGATACTTTGCTGAGGGGCTTCTTTGCCCTCTTGTAAGGGGTCCTTATACTTTGCACACCCTGATGAAGTCCAGGGAGGTTGCCCTCTCTCTGGGCATGAAATAGACCAAATTTACTTCATAGAACTGTAGAATGTCAATGCTGCAGGGTCACCTGTGTGACTTGGGTCACTGATTTACACTTCTTCATTTTGGAGTAGAGGAAACAGAGGCCCAGAATGTGAAGTGATGTACCCAGTGTCAAACAGTGGGTTGAGAAGTGGTTGGGACTTAAGTGGAGACTCCTGAACCTTTGGTCTAATGCCCTTTAATGATACTGTTTGGCTTTTGATCAGTTTTGGGGAATATACCAGACTGCCCTAGTGAGGCAGGATAGAATGGGGACACACCCCAGGGAGGCTGCTCATAAATATTCAGACCAGATTGGCACTGGCCGCCTTCTTGTTCTGCAGTTAATGAACCCATAATGAGCTGACGACAGCTTAACCACTCTACCAATCAGCATGCTACACCTTGAACTTTGTGGTTTTTGAACAGAAACTTAAAACCCTAAAAAACTGCATCGCCTGTGAACTAGGAGGAACAAAAGTGCAGACTAGACCAAAAAGGGCAAAGTGAAGGGAAAAGTGACCCCACTGTACATGACCAAAAATTTCAGAAGCTCAGTGATGCATGATAGGAAGTTTATGCAAACTTATATAAGCCTGTTAAACCTTAATTACCTCAGATCCTCCCTCACGGTAGAATATTCCTCCCCTTAGTTAGGACAGAGAAACACTCCTATCGCAGAACAACATATAAACCCTCACCCTAAGAATCCATAGTACATTCCTTACTCGTAAGGATGCTTGTACACCCTTCTGCATGTACTTTTGCTTTGCAATAAAGCCCTACTGCTTGAATGTTTCAACTGCCTGTCCTTCTGCCTTTCGCTGAATGGGTGCTCACTGTGATGCAGACTCCTCTCAGTCCTGTGGAAGATTCTTCACGGTTTAACCAAGAACCTAAAACTGCTGTCCAGTAACACTAGGACAAGCAATACTAAAAAGCATTATTGGGAGGTTATAAAATGCAGCAGAAGCAGAAGACCTGGCTTCTTGTCTCCACTTGACTCCTTATTAGCTATGTGATCTTGAAAAGTCATTTAACATCTTCCAGGCTTGATTAATTTATCTTCTAAGACAGTGCTGTCTAATAGAAATATGTGAGCCACATTTCAAAAGTAAAAGGAAACAGGTGAAATTAATTTTAATGGTATATTTTACTTAATCCATTATATCCAAAATATTTCAACATGTAATCCATATAAAAATTATTAATAAGCGACACTTTTTTTTTTTTGCAGTTAATCTTTGCAATTCATTGTGTGTCTTTCACTTATATCTCAGTTTGGACTAGCCAGATTTCAAGTGTTCAATAGCCACAAGTGGCTAGTGACTACTGTATTATAGAGTACAGTTGTAGAAGCTTAGAATGTTAGAGTTGGGAAAGGTTTTAGAGCTCCTTTGAGGAATTAGAAACTGACAGCCATAGGGTAAATTATAGTACATGGTCTCATTTTGTTTGGCTTTCATTTAAAAAACATTTCTGAATGTGAATGCTTTTTTTTGTCAGACATGTGTTCTCTGGTTTCCCACTGTTGCCCACCAGTCACTCTTGTTACCAATGTCATCGGTCATATTGTCTGCTCTTCTAGACCAATCTGTCTGCCTTCTCTTCCAATTTTCTCCTGGACTAAGGCTTAGAGAGGAAGTGATTTGTCCAAGGTCAATAGCTAGTTAGCAGATCCAGGAACAGAAGCTAGAGTCAATTGACTCTGAATTCTCTCAGTTTCTATTGAATCACAATGTCAGTCAGTCACATTCCTGCTTTATCACAGGATTATTGTGAGGTTGAAACGATCTGAAGTACTGCACAGGTGTGATGTGGTAGCATTATATTCTCTGGGCATGCAGTGAAATATTATGTTTAAAAAGTTCAAGCTTAAGTAATATATCTTTTAACCTCTTGTTTTTCAAACTTTTTTTTCTAGCAAAAGGTAATGTAAGCATGTATTTTATTTATTTATTTTTATTTTTATTTTTATTAAGCATGTATTTTAAAAACGTAGAAAATAGGGAAACATGTCTCACACATAGTAGGTGTGGAATAAATATTTGTTGAGTGGAAAAATGAAGAAAAGAGTCACACATTCTTATTCTTTAAACTGTTAAGGACATTTGGCCTTGTTTCCTATGTGTAGAATCTAAAAAGTCTTCTATGTTATTATGCTACACGTGAATTTTGTATCCTGCTTGGTTCCACTCAGTATTGTAGTGTAAGTACAAAGCAACTTCTTTTAACCACTTATTTTCCAGACTTGTGTTATTTTCCATCATTTTGAACTCACCTCTTTTTTCCCTTTCTGTTTTTTTAAGATGCAGGAGAGCTGTATGTTTGGGGAAGCAACAAGCATGGGCAACTGGCTACCCAGGCAGCTTTCCTTCCTATGCCCCAGAAAATAGAAGCTCGTTGTTTTCAGAATGAAAAGGTCACTGCAGTCTGGAGTGGGTGGACACACCTTGTTGCTCAGACAGGTGAGAGAGCAGCAGAGAATTTGCAGTTGGTAAGAGCAGCTAGGGGTCAGCTGTCTAAACAGCTATGAATGCTTCAGTTAAGGATTTTCATTGATAAAAAGCTTTAAGGACTAGAAAGGGGAGGACCTGGGGTCTCATTCTTCCCTTAGCCAGATATGTGGCTTTTTCTCTCTGGATCACAGGTTTGTACCCAAGAAGGCAAGTTTGGGTTAGGTTAACTCCTTCTGGTTCTAAAAGTCCATAAGGTTTTGAGAAGGAATCCACTGTAGCAAGCACCACCCAAAAATTTGTCCAAGTTGTCAGGGAGTTCTTGCCTTGTCACAGCTGAAGAGATGACTCTATTTGCATTTCCACCTCAGTCTAAATTAAAAGCATCAGAAATTGTTAAGTTACAGATACATATTTCAAGATTGACACAGGAGCATACTTTGAGACATAGGTAGCATGGTATTCTGATTTAAACTTTATTTACCCACGGCTGGCTGGTTTGCTCAGTTGGTTAGAGCGTGACATATAACATCAAGGTCAAGGGTTCAGAGCCCCGTACTGGTCAGCCAAAAAAAAAAAAAAATTATATGTATGTATGTGTGTGTGTATATATATATGCATATATAAATGTATGTAAGTTTATATATGTATATAAACTTTCATTTACCCTAATAAACTATGTACATCGATTCAGACATCTCATATAACCCCTCAGATGTTATGCCATATAGCTTTTGGAATTTTTTTTTTTGAGCTTTCATCTGTTTCTCACCTTTCTCTTAGGGTAGTCCTCCTTTTTAGCCTTCCTCTTCCTGACTTTGTTCTCAGATTTTGTTTTTTATGCAGTCTCTTAATCCTTGCTTTCCTAGAGCTCCTGCTGACTTACACAGAGTTCCCCAGACAGTTTGTAATTCTTAAGCCCTATTATCATGTCAGGGCCTTCTGAACTTCAGAGGTTCTCAGGAGTCCCCTTGCGTACTATTGTCCTGCTTACTTGCTAGCTATACACACATCTATAGACTACTAAATACCTGGTGACTGTTATTCTAGTAGTTTCTGGCTTTTACAGGATTTCACAAGCATAGACTTATGAGCATCCATATCTATGATGCTTGTAAAAAATTTTACCATCATTTTGGAATAGATGCCTATATAACAAAGGTGTATAATAAACTTTCCATATTACCACTTCTGAAGATGCTGAACAGGAAGCGTGTCATTCATTTGGAGGAAAATCATGACTGTCTTCAAAGAGGTTGAGACTGCTTAGAGATTGGGCCAGTCTACAGAAGGTTTTCTTAAAGAGCATAGTAGCTGCTTATTTGTGTAATTGTTGATATCTGTCCTTTTCTCCAGACAATAAGTTCTGTAAGGGAAGCCACCATAGTCTTGTTCACTTCTATATTGCCACTGCCTATCTGAATGTACTCATTTTTCTGCATCAAACTGTTTCTAGTTAAAAGAGGCTAAAGATACTCAAATTCATATACTCATAAGGCAGAATAGACAGCTAGGGTTTCTGGCCTCTTTCCTGGAATTCACTGATTCATGAAAAGAAGGCTTCAATCTGTCTTCTTGGATTTGGGAGTCCAACCAAATCAGTTAGTGTTTACTGGGCACATATTGAACAAACTAAACCTTGAAGACACAAAGGAGAAAAGAAATGGGCAATGCCTTTTCACTGGAATGTGTGGATAGGCTTAAGTCTCAGAACACAGAGATAGAAAACTTTACCTACCATCTGTCCATCTATCTGCCATACAAGTGGTGAAGGTCTGTTTGTGTACCATGCCTTGTACTAGATGTAAATCTTGCCCTTAAGGAGTCTACTGTCCACTAGGAGAGACAGACCTGCGGTCAGATTCAGCACATTACAGTATGAGACGTGCAACAGTAGAGCTAAGTACAAAATGCAAAAGTAGCATAGAAACTAGCGGTAGTCTGAGTAATTGGCGTGAACAGGTAGGCGTTTCGTGGTTAGTCAGTCTTTAAAGAACTGCAGTGCAGTAAAGTATACTTACTACCAAATGGTAATGAGTTTGTTTGAGTCTGTCAGTAAACCCTTTAACTAGTTAGGTAGCTGACTAATAAAGACTCAAAGATGTTGCTTCTTTGATTTTAGCTTTGAAGCATTGTAACTGATGCTGATACCCACGTCTGGGCCGGCAGCCCAGCCCTTGGGGTGGGAGGTTGGAACCCACATCCCTGATACTGTCTGAGTCACCCCAGCTGCTCTGGAGCTTAGCTTCAGGTCTCCACCTCCACTCGGAGCATTATTTTTTGGTAACATTTCAGCTGTTTAATTAACTTGTTAATTTAGATCGCTTGTTTATGTACAGTGTCACTTTCCCCTTCCTCCTAAGTCCGGAATGGTTAAGAGCTGGGGTGTTTGAGTATCCTGGTTGTTGTAACAGATTTTGGGTAAATGGGAGTCTCCTGCTATTTGATTCACCAACTTTGTGTTCCCTCCGAGCAGCAGTGAAAGCCCTTGTCCTGACCTGGTGTCATTGAGAAGAAACACCCAGGGCTTCTGTTTAATCAGATTCAGCTGCTCACATTAATGGGAACAAGATTTCCTCACAGGGTCAGAAGCAGCTCATTAGTGGAACAAGGAGTTATTGGACTCTAGTTATTTTCACAAGCTCCAGTGGTGAATTGTTCTTAGGACATACTTGCAGGCCAAATCAGCACAGGGGCTGCTGTCAGTCTCTTTCTGGGAGGCATTAGTTGTGTGATAGTGACTAAAAAAAGAGTCTATGCACAGATGCTACTGGCATCTAATGGGTTGAAGCCAGAGATGCTGCTAAACATTCTACAATGCAAGGACAGCCCCCACAACAAAGAATTATTCAACCCCAAATGTTAGTAGTGTCAAGACTGAGAAATGCTGCCCAAGACTGACTTCTCCAGTGGTAGGTGCTTAGCTAGGGCAGTTCACATGGTATCAAAGTAACTTTACCGATCATCTATATGGGAATATGGGATGTGTTCTCTGCCCTCCCCTCTCAGGAGTCTGGTGCCTGCCTGCAGTGTTTGCGATGGAAAAATACTTTTCTCTGTTAGTCAGAGGCACTTGGAAAGAGTCCAGGAGAACCTGTTCTAATCTGGGAGAGTTGGCAAGAGTACCTGTGTCTCAAGCTGGTGGTGCTGCATTCTAGAAACCTATCCCAAGCTGCTTAATGTCCCTGATCTTTGTTCTTAGGAATTTTATGGGACTCCTGAGTGACTTTATCCAGGCTCAGTGACCTGCAGCTGCCTCATCAGAGATTCATGATTTCCTGGCCAGAGGTACTTCTAGAGAGAGCTGGATGGCAGATCTGGGTGCCTTCCTAGTTTGGTGACCTTGATTAAGTCACTTCACTGTCTAGGCCTCAGTTTCCTCATCTCTCAAATGAGATATTAAAACCTACCTGTATTCTGCATAGGGCTGCCTTGTGGTTCAAATGAATGAGTCTGTGTGAAAGATCTCAACTAATTGTAAAATGTGTACGTGATGGTTGCCTGAGGTTGAGATATGTAAGTAAGTTAAGGAGTTAGTAGTTGCTTTTAGGAAAGACTTCTATTTCAGCAGGGTCGGTGCTGAGCTTGAGAACTAGCTTCTGCCCTGAAGGCTCATGTCTGGCCAGGAATACTCAGTATCCAACTCAGACAGGCGAAGTTTCCTAGAGTCTTTCACTTACACACTGTAGGCAAGTGGCTCTTTTATATTATCAACAGTTTGGGGGCCGGCCCGGTGGCGCACTGCTACAGTGCGCCGCTTGGGAGCGCGTCGGCGCGCTCCCGCTGAGGGTTCAGATCCCACATACAGACCGGTTCCTGCTCACTGGCTGAGCGAGGTGCGGGTGCAACACCGAGGGTTGCGATCCCGTTGCTGATCCTGGTCCGGTACGGGCACAACACTGAGGGTTGTGATCCGTTGCCGGACATGAAAAAAGACAAAAAAGGAAAAAATAAATAAATAAATCAACAGTTTGGAAGATCTTCGTAGCCTTATCGGTAATTTTACCTGTTAAAATTGATTCTTCATGGTACTCATCCCAATTTATAATTGTATACATCGTTTGTTTCTTATTTGTTTAATGTCTAGACTGTAAATTCCATGAGAGCAGTGTCTGTTTTATTCATGGCTGTATCCCTAGCATCTGGCACAGGCCTGGCACATGATCAGTAACTAATTGCGGAATGAATGAATAAATGGCAAGGTAGAGAGAAACATGGGCTTTGAAGTGAGACAGACCAGGGTTTGAATCTCAGCTCTGTCAGCTTATTGATTGTGTGGTTATTGGCAGCTCCACCTCTCTCCATCTCCATTGCCTCCATTGTAGTTCAGGCCACTTCTTCCTCTTACCTGGATCCTGTAGTGGCTTTTGACTGGTGTCCTGATCTTCCTACATTCACCCCCTTTCCCTTCCAATCTGTTCTCCATACCTCAGTTGGAAGATCTATTTAAACCCATTGTGTCATATCCAAATGGCTTCTCATTGCTCTTAAAAATAAAAATATAATCCTGGGCTGACCGGTTAGCTCAGTTGGTTAGAATGCGGTGTTGTAACACCAAGGTCAAGGGTTCGGATCCCCATACTGGCCAGATGCAAAAAAAAAAAAAAATACACACACACAAGTACATATATATATGTGTGTGTGTGTAATCCTTAGTGGTCTTACAAAGCCCTGGCCTACCTTTCCAGCCCCTTTTCTCACCTTGCTAGCTCTTGATCTCTATCTGATCTGCACTTTGGCCTTTGCTTCTTTCCTTCAATATGTTATATATTGATACCACAGTGTCTTTGCATCTGATGTTCCCTCTATTTGGCATACTTATCCCTTCACCTCTCTCTCATTTTGACTAAGTTAAACTTTTTTTTTCTCTATACCTCAATTTAGTCATTCCCTCCTCAGGGAGGCCTTCTCTTGACATTGCTTTCTAATCCCTTTTTCCTTTATCTATTCTCATGGCATCATTAACCTCTCCTTTGTGCTATTTTTTTTTTTTTTTTTGTAGGATTTTTTGA